GTTTCGGGTTCAGGGGTTTCGGGTTTCGAGTTTAGGGTTTTAGGGTTTTGAGGGTTTACTGCACTTGCCGTTTTGGGGGGTACCTGGGCCTACGAGAATGTGGGGTTTAGGGAGTTTATAGTCAGTGTGGTGAGTTGGGCTCGGGTACTTGGGGCGTAGGGCATAAGAAATTCGATTCCCTGAGGTTCCTTCCAGACATGGCCGAGTTTCAACTGGCTTCTTCAGAGTTGGCAAGTGGCATACGACGTGTTTTTTGTTGCGGGATCTGGAAAAGCGACCACAGTATGACGGTTTTATTGGTACTGTAAGTTATTAGTTTATTCGTGCCTCTAACTTGGGACCACAAATCTTGAGAACCTGCCCCTTCCCCGATGAACGCATGGCAGCAATGCTAGTAGAACAAAGCGGTCTGAGCCTTGTCTCAGAAGCACTCGTGCGAGGAAGCAAACCTTCAGCCCACTCGGTTTCGCATGTCACGTGTAGCTTTGGACACTGCGGTCGCTAACAAGAGGGTCTTCAAACTGAGGATCCGAAGGAGGATCCTACACCATGGGGATTCCAAGTAGTTGGGGGTGGCTTATCTTTGGGCGTGTCCGTGCAATTTTTTTCTGCACAGTGAGCTCGCAAGCAACCACTGATCGAGTCATTGGAGACCCTTGGAGTTCAGGCTGGGAGCTCGGCTGGCTGGTTTTTGGAGAATGGCCCGCCCTACGGATTCGATCATTCTCTCTCTAGCATGGCCGCGACGAAGATCCGGGCTTTAGGTGCTACAGCTCGGAGTCCGGAGCCTTGCGAATCCTAAACCCTAAAGCCTAAACCCTGATCCCTAATCCCTAAATCCCTAATCCCTAAAGCATAAAAAAAGCCTATTCCCTAAACCCTAAATCCACATCCGGCTTCGCAAGGTCTCCCTTCAGCCGCGCTTTGAAGGAAAAGATGAAGGTGATGCTCTGGGGGGGGTTAGGGTTTAGGGTTTAGGGCTGTTGGCCTGTTTGCGCATGTCTGCTTGTATTATGGACTCTGTAAGTTCGTGGCTTGCTGAATGCTTGGCATGTTTCGTTGCTGGAAGTCGTCGCTGACACAGCAGCAGCAACAGCAGCAGCCGCCGCCACATCTTCGACATTGCCATTATCAGCAGCAGCATCATCAACATCAAAGTCATCACCGGAACCAGCGTGGACAGAGCTGTCATCATAATGGGCACCATCACCATAAGCAGCAGCGTAATCGTCATCGTCATCGTGGCCAGCACTTTCACCATATTCATCACCATCACATCTGCTATGGATACCACTGTCACCGTCAATCACCTAAGGCATTTGCTACGACGAACCCTGATGACAGCCGTAGCCATCATTCTGCTCTTGGTAATTGTCTTTGCAGTTGAGTTAGCAGCTCGTGATTTAGGTACCGTTGCTGGTCCCTGTACACCAAAAACAGCAGCAGCAGCAGCAGCAGCAGCAGCAGCGCTGCTGCTGCTGCTGGTGCTGCCGCTGCCGCTGCTGCTGCTGGTCCTCCTGCTCCTGCTCCTGCTCCTGCTCCTGCTCCTGCTCATTG